TTACTCTGATTATTCATATATTATCCATGGGGTTTAGAAAGGTGTTACAGAATGACATTCACCCTAACATCTTGGAGATTTTTCTAGTATTTCAAAGTTGGATCTGAGTAATCTTACAGATAGTTATGTCCATCCTGCAACTACTTCTGCTATCTGTTCTAGTATGGTTTGTGAAACAAAGGGTGTAGAGTTGCATGTGCTTCCAGTGTGTGAATATGAAGATGTTGAAGTGAGTCTTCATGTGTTTGGGTTTTCTTTTTTAGGGGGAGTGTTATTTATGCATGACAGGGAGAGCTGTGTACCTGTCTGATATGTAGCTGCATTGCTGTAGCCTATACAAAGTTTGCTGATTCTCAGGCAAGCTTGTGTTCTTGGACCACTGATGAGGTTGTAATGTCAGACAAGACGTCTTGACATTGTGCTGTTTGGTGTACCCCTCTACCTTGACAAGGTGAATATTGGTATGGCTTTGTGAGACTGTTGGTTTGTACTAGGTCTGTGCTTACTTCTTGTGAATGACCTAGGAAACAACATTGGTTATTTTCTGGGAGAATTTATTTTTCTCTGCAGAATATTTGTGTGTCTCTAATTGGGGATTTAAAATCAATTGCTACTTGACAAGTATTTAATTGATTATTCTATAATTGGTGATGTCAAAAGTGTCACTCCTGAAGCAGCTTCAGACAAGGCAAGAACTCAAGATTCAATGACTATGTTCATAGGGTAAAGCTATGTGGAGTTTTTACCGTGGAGGAGCATGATGGTCATGGTGAAGAATCGTTTTTTTGGATCTGTGCAAAAGGGTGGTAGATAGAAAGTAAAAGGATAAGTAGTTTGTGTCCTTGCCTTGGTGCTTATAGTCTGGCTGGTTGATGAAGGAATCAATTCTTAAGCTGCTTAAGAAAAATTACTAATGTCAGACAGGATGTCTGAACATTATGAGGAAGCTACATGAGAGTTTATTTCTCTCTATGTTTTTCTGGTGTTTGTGATAACCTGTTAAGCTGCTGCTGTTGTATCCTTCTGAGATCTTCATATCTTAATGAAATGTATGGACTACTATGGATATAATAAGTCTTGTGGTTGGTGTCTTAAGAACCAATGTGAGTGGTAAAAGAGTTGATGTCATACATGATGGGCTGGAATCAGGATTAATTTTACTGTGTTTGAGTGAGTTCAGCAGAAGGGTTTGAGTCCATGGATTTTTGCTGCAGTGGTGCAGTCTTTATATTGATAGAGGATCAAGCAGGGTATGTATCACTTGGGAGGTTGTGAGATTATGAGACTGGATATCCAGACACCATGTGCAATTTGCTTTGAAGCATGGTGATTTTGATTCAGTTTTTGGGCTTGGCTTTGTTATTGATGTGTTATGAGTTTATGTGTGTACATTTACTCCAATTTTGTCAACTTTTTGGCTAAACAAAGGGGGAGTAAAGTGTTAATGAGTGTTGATGCTACTTCTAAGGGAAGAGTAGTGTTTTGTTGTTGCTTGCTGGATGCAACTATTAAGGGGGAGCATGATAGTTTGTGAGGCTGGATGTATTTGAGAAAACTACTGCCGTTGCTGCCCTGATAAGTTTGTTGGGTTGTTTTAGCCAAAATTTGCCAAAGGGGGAGATTGTTAGTTCCATGATTCTATGATTGTTCACGGTTCTATGATTGGCTAAATTTTGGTAAAACATGATTCTGCACTGATGTTAAGCAAGATGTTATAACATCTTCATCTACTGTTTTGACAGTACTGTTGTCATGTATTTTTATCAAGATGTCGAGACAGATGTCGTGACATCTTTGTCTAGTATAGCAGGAGCTGCTATTTCATATCTCTTGACAGAGGTGTTTTGGTTTGATGAGATCATGTTGGATATACCTCATCAGTATGTGCATGTCTAAGAGATTTATTAGGAACAAAGTGTAGATTTAGTTGGTGTTCATAAAAAGGATCTTTGAGACGTTTTAGGAAACTATAATATATTTGTTTCTACTGTTATGAAGAAGATTCTGCAGAAGATTTAGAGTTTGTCTTGATTGGCTGCATTTTGTGGTAAAACATTGTTATGTGTGTAGATGTCTTGACTGATGTCATGACATACTTGTGTAGTGTTCTGCAGGATATGTTTGGTTAGCTAATACAGAGTTTATTGGATGTCAAGCTGAATGTTGTGACATCGGTATCTGCCAGCATGGACGCTGTTTTGTTTTCTGTTATGTTTTATTTATCTCAGGCTATATTTTAGGAAACTTTCTATTCAGTGTTGATCATGAAAGGAAATGCCTATGGCCTATTTTTTAGCACCTTGAATTGTGGAGATTGGATTAACTTGGTTAAACCTAATTTATGTTACTTTTGCACAGCCCAAGTCAGTCTGCATTACTATTTAAGGAGGCGGAGAAGCAAGGAAAATTAAGCACTCACAACAAGAAAAACTTGAGTGTAAAATAAGGGTTTAGGGTTTTAAGAGTCTTTTGTGTGTGACTTTGTAAGTCACCCTTTGTATCTTTTGATGCATCGTGGTAGACATATTTAGGTTGTTATTTGTTAATTGTTAATTGTTCACTCAAAGCTTTTAAGCAATAGTGTATTGGTCTTGATTGAAGCTGTTAAGCAAAATCAAGAATTGTGACTTTGAAGAGTGTCTTCTAAAGTCTTTGTTTGTGTATTGAATTGTTATCACTGCTGTGATTGTGGGGAGTGAGAGGTGTCTCTTGTCTAGTGAGTTCTAGGTAGAAATTGCATTGGGTAGAGATTAAGTGAAGAGTTGTAAACTGGGAGTTTCATTACAAGAAAAAAAAGGAGATTTACGACATTTGAGTTACGACAGTTATCACAAAACCGTCCTTATTCCTGGATTGCGACGGTTGTCACGACAGTTAGGGTCAACTGTCGTAGATTTTTTGCAACAGTTATCAAAAAAACCGTCCTTATTCCTGGACTACGACAGTTCTCACGACGGTTTGAGTCAACCGTCGCAAATTTTTTTGGCATGTTGTATAAAATAATGCGACAATTACCAAATAACCGCCCTCTTTCCACACTCGCGACAGTTAAGGCGAACTGTCGCAATTACTTTAGCCAATCATAATCACTATTTTTTTATTCCTTTAATATTCCACTTTTTTCTTTCATTTGTATTTTCTAACCTTTTCAATTTTATTAATTAATTTAATAAATAATTATTATAATTTTCATGACAATGTAGCTTAATATTTTTGTCTAAAATAATAGAAAAATATTTTCTGTTTTATTATATAAATAGTTAATTTTTATTAAAATTAATTTTGATAACAACTACAAAAATAAATATTTTCTGTTTTATTATATATAAATGTTTTATGAAGATTATAAATACATTACAAATTATAAATTATAGATTAAAAACATATTTAAGCTTTAAAAAAATATTAAAAAAAAAGTTTTAGAAAAACAACTATAGTAGTACCGAGCGGTCAAAATTACAGTTCTGATGCATCATCAGAGTCTTCAAAATTTGATGCTGAAAAATTAGTTTTTTTGCTCATGAATTTGAAAGACCTCTGGCTTGATTGAACTCTATCACCACTGCTTATGAACCTTGTTAACATAAAATCTATGTAAGTACTTTTCTGTTGAGTACATGATTTGCACTGTCTTTAAGAAGTTCCTTAATTTGTTTTCTTCAAATTTTGTTGTGCAGTATTTTAAGGAATAACTTTTTTATCAGACCAGACTTGAAGAAATTGTAGGCTTCAAATAATTGGAGATTTTGTATTTGGGATATAGCAACTTTAGTGGACATCTAGATGGTAATTTTGGACATAATATCTCATCATTAGCAATTATATAAAATGATATTCTAACTAATATTTAATTTGTATTACTCGATTCATTTCAAAATAACCGTCGTTTCAACATATACTAATTTTCTTCTTGTTTTAGTTTACTAGACAACAATGATCACCTTGTTGATATATATCCATCAAAGAAGCCGAAGAAGACAGTCAATTGGTTACTCCCATCACAAATATTGTCTTGGTATAAAATTGTGTTAACTTCGTTAATTTCTATCTTCTTTTTTACTGTCACATAGCTTGGAATTTGAGGTCTAAACAACTAATGGCTACATTCATAGTTTTGTATCACAAATGAATAAACTATGAAAATTTAAAGTTCCAAAGAGTTAATTTAATATAAGGATTCATGAAAATGGTCTTGAAAAGCTAATGGCTATGCCATCTAAATCATAGCTTGTTATAGGTTATAAATAGATAATAATTCAAAATGTAGAGAGTTGAAATGCATTCATATTAGTTTCAATGCTTTATTAAACATGAATCCACATGACCTTTACACGTGATCATTACAATAACCTAAAATAGATATGGAAAATGAAAGGGAAGTAAATGATTTTCTTAGAAACCATCAAAGTATGAACCTCTTGAATTATAGCCAGTAGCCTGAATCTTGGACAATAATGTTACTTTTCTTTTATCACTTGATGGCCTGCTAATTTTATCATGCCTAATGAGGTGAAAATTCCTCCATCAATGATGACTTTTATCATTTTCATGCTTATATTGTATATTAACATTCTGTTGGTTGTTTATGTTTAGAGTTATGAGTTCTAGCTTTTGTTTATATGGTGTTTTAGAAAGGAATATTTTCTTTTGGAAACTTAATTAAAATATTTTCGTTTAGTAGTCGTAATGGTATTTCCCTGCTTAACTAGTAAACAATTACTCTAAGTTTTGTTCTTGCTATTATTTTGTATTACATTTTTATTGGGTTGAATTATGAACAACTTCTCCGAGGTAATTGCTCATCAACATTAAACAACCAGATCATGCGAATTAGCATTTTTTATATGTTAGGATGATGTTACCATGAAAAAGGTACATTTTATTTTATATATAAGCTATTTTGACATACAGCAGGAGAAGCCGCAAAGCCAAAACTGTCACCAAGCAAATCGTCGTCTTCCTCGGCCTGTTCTTCTCCGTCCTCTCCTTTCCTCTAAAGGATGAGGCATCTTGACTCAAAAGAAGACCATGGCCAGAATCATAGTCAGAAGAAATCAGTTATCACCAAAGTAAAGGAGAAAGCCAAGAAGTTACGCCATAGCCTTAGTAAGAAAAAACATGAGGACTGGAATGCTAATAGTCCCCCGTCGAGTGCTGGACATGAAGGTGATGGAGCAGAAGAAGATGCTGAACACCATGAAGCTACATGTAGTAAAAAAAAACCTGTATATAACCGCCTTCTCTTGATTCTTTTTTATTCGTATATGAATAATTGTTGTCTCCGATTAATATTTCAGTGTATGAATCTGAGATGGCATATGAAAGACAGAGAAAATACAAGGCAACATTCAAGACTGAGTCCAGTAACCCCAGAGAAGCATGTTCTGTCAAACAATGAAAAACTTGGATTAGAACATGCTAGAGAAAAGACCCTAAGTTGTTCGCTGTCAAAGAAAATAACACAACCGGCTACAACAACAACTACGAAGCGTATGATCAAGACTAGGCAGAATGTCAGGTTAAGTTAAAAAGAAGATTTTGTTTTGGTTAGATTTTGTTAGTCGCAACATTTTGTTCGAGTCATGGAAGCTTATTTCTTGTTTATATTCGGTTGATTCTTTGGTTGAGAATGATAAATGTATGTCATTCACATGATCTTTGGTTGTTTTACTCTTTATGATATGATGTTGTTGCTTTTAGTTTATTCAAATCAAACTTGCTGTCTTTTAAGTTAAAATTTGGGTTGTTATGGTTCTGCGGATTCATATGTGAGAAGGTTAAATTGTGAAGTAGACATTCATATGTTCACATGCTGCACTACAATAGTATATTAGTGTTCTAGTGTTTGATGCTGTTATTAGATTAATTGAATTTCGATTGAGCATTTTCTGCCGAGTCGGTTTTGTTTCAATTTAAATTTTGGTGCGAATTATAGTTGTTGTGCTATATGTTTGAATTGTTTCATATGCGATTGGATATTGTATACATGCTATGTGTGGTGTTGTTAACAAATTAGAGAACGCAAGGTTAATGATTGAAAACTTTTTAATGTTTGTGTTTATTGTGTGAATATCATGAATATTGATGATTCCATTAATGTAACCTACAATAGCTGTATTCTGAATCCTAAACTGAGTGCAGATTTTTTTTAAAAAATATTTGCATTTTGCGGCGGTTCAAACCGCTACAATATACCATAGATTTTTAAAAAAAATTTGCAACTTGCGGCGGTTCAAACCGCCACAATATACTTTCGCAATCAACAACGAAAACAAAAAATCATTAAGCAATTTAAGACGGTTGGAAATCGTCACAATATGGAGATTACAATAATTAGCTACCCGTCGTGAAAATAACGACGGTTTGTACGACAATTTTCACAACCGTCGCAATACGGCCTCGCGATGCACGTTTCCGCGATAGGACTGAAACCGTCGTAACTTACAAATTGTGACGGTTATAACCATCGTAATCTATCAAAATGAACCGTTGTAATTTGCCAATTTTCTTGTAGTGTTTAGCTCTGAATTAATTCTGCTAATAGTGGATTTCCTTCCTGACTTGGTAGCCCCCAGATGTAGGCGATGTTACACCGAACTGGGTTAATAATTCACTGTGTTATTTATCTTTCTGCATTTAACATTCTACTCAATTTAAATGGTTAGATAAACTGTTCTATTAGTCTGCGGATGTTACAACAGATGTCACGACATTATTAATTTTTTAAAGCACATTAAAATGTTCATGTTCTGTCCTTGTTCTGTTTTAGCAGAGATCAATGTCCTTACATATGTCTGGTACATCTGAAATCTGTATACCAGAATTTCATAAACAAATCAGAGAATACCTTGTGATTCTTCAACCTTCTTGTTACACTTCGTTCACAGTGTTCTTCGTTCAAAACGTGGTTCTTCATTCGCAGCTCAATGAATGTTTTCTCTGTTCTTTGTCCGGAACTCAAGGAATGTTTTCTATGTTCTTCATTAGCAACTCAAGGAATGTCTTCTCTACTATTTGTTCGCCTGGGTATATTCAAGAAGTGGTTTTCATTTAATTTAGAAAATAGTAAAATATAATTAAAAGTTAATTTTCATTTTATAAAAATATTCATTAATAAAAATATTACATATGCATATTTCCATGTAAGCATTGATCAGTCATGTATTTAAAAAAATTGCCACATCAGCGTGTTTTTGGTGATAAGTGAGATAGGGAGACCAAAACTGTTTAAACAATAAACAGGGGGACTATTCTCATGAGTTTGGCAAAACAGGGGGACCAAAGCTGTATTTTAGGCTATTTATTAATTATTTAATAATTCTTCAACCTTCTTGTTACACTTCGTTCACAGTGTTCTTCGTTCAAAACGTGGTTCTTCATTCGCAGCTCAATGAATGTTTTCTCTGTTCTTTGTCCGGAACTCAAGGAATGTTTTCTATGTTCTTCATTAGCAACTCAAGGAATGTCTTCTCTACTCTTTGTTCGCCTGGGTATATTCAAGAAGTGGTTTTCATTTAATTTAGAAAATAGTAAAATATAATTAAAAGTTAATTTTCATTTTATAAAAATATTCATTAATAAAAATATTACATATGCATATTTCCATGTAAGCATTGATCAGTCATGTATTTAAAAAAATTGCCACATCAGCGTGTTTTTGGTGATAAGTGAGATAGGGAGACCAAAACTGTTTAAACAATAAACAGGGGGACTATTCTCATGAGTTTGGCAAAACAGGGGGACCAAAACTGTATTTTAGGCTATTTATTAATTATTTAATAATTTTTCATTTATTATATATAAACAATAATATAAATAAGTATTAAAACACTAAATAAAGAATTGGTGGGTGGCCTAATAGCGGAAATCATAGAAGGTGGCCCACTGGATCTTAAATCAAAACTAGGCTATTTATGCCTAATAGCGGAAACCATAGAAGGTGGCCCACTGGATCTTAAATCAGGCTCTGATACCATGTTAAGAAATGTGGCTGGGCCTAACTCAACCCTACAAAACCGGTTGGTAGAGTGAGGATTACTCCCACTTATAAACACATGTTCATGCCATATATTGTCCGATGTGGAACTCTTAACAACTACAAAAAAAAACTACCTCAGTTCCTTTATATAAGAGACAATTTAGTTTTTAGGTTTATTAAATAATCAATGTATGGTCAGTTTATATGCTAGATACACCGATTATTTAATGAACTTAAAAAGTGAGTTATCTCTTATAAAAAGGAACGGAGGTAGTACAAAATATACCATGTAAATAAATCTCTAACTTCATCAAAATAGATATTAAAATGAAAATGACGACCTTCTTCCTACAAAATACCCAGATCTTCAAGAACTTCAACAAATCTTCATTCTGCCTTCAAGAAATCTTCACCCAACCTTCAACTAAAACCTAGTAAAATGCAAAACCCAAAAGTCCTCCCCCATCTCTTTTTTTCAAAAAAAAAAATCTTCTTCCACTGTTAAAAAAAAACACAGCAAATGGTGATGAGAAAGAGAGAGAAAAAAAAGAAGAAAACGTTGGGTGGTAAAAGAGAAAAAGTGGGGATGAGAAAGAGGAAAAAAAGAAGTAAATATAAGAAGGTGGACAAAATGAAAGGAAGTTTAATCTGAGATGATATGAGATTGCAAATCTTCCAAAATATAAATAAGTAATATCAAATAATTGTTGTAGGAACATAACATTAAATAGAATTGAGTAGCAATGTAGCATAATGGGTGCAGACATTGGAAACATAAAGGAAAATTAGGTATACAAATGGCACACGGGTGGAGTTAGAATTTAGGCAGTCCAGCAGCATTTGAAAAACAAACGGTCGTGTGGAGGATTTTGAGAATATCCATATAGAGGGTTGTATGAGCAGCAAAGACAAATGGGTCTTTTCCACAGGCATTAAAATTCTTATATGATAAATTTATATCAATATATCAATCCAAGTAATGACGGTAAGCGCCGAGATGCACGTGGACTTTCTGTTTATTAATGTCAACATTGCACACTACATACTATATTTATGTTAATCTTTTAGGGTATGTTTGGTTGTAAACAGAAATTGTGAAGAAATAAATATGTGAGAGAGAGTGGGAGAAGAGAGAAATAGATAAAAAGTTGAATAGATTTAAAGTATGGTTAGTTATAAGAGAAAAATAAAAATAAAAATAAAAGAGAGAGAAGTGTTGATTAAGTATGAAAGTATGGAAATATCTTTGATTCAAAAATTATTTTTTAAAATTTAAATTTCATTTAATTTTTTAGTTAATGTTAATTTAAATAATTAATAAAATAATTATTTAAAGTAAATAAATTATTTAATTATTTATTTTAATTTAACTAATTAATTATTAAATACATACTACAATTAGTAATAACTTGTTTTTCAATTAAAAAAACCATAACATATAAGTTATATGTGAATAAAGGGTATAATGAGAAAAGTGTTGTAATTTTCTCTTTCTTCGCTCTTGTGAAGAGAAATGAAAAATGGTTAGATCCCACATAATTTACTATTTCTACATTTTTCTCATGCACGAAGCAAGAGAAATATAACATATTACTTATCAACTTCATTAACTTATTGCTTATATATCTCTTCTACATTTCTCTTCTACATCAACTTCATGCTTATCAAACATACCTTAAGACTATTCTTAGCATTAATTATCTTATTTCATATACTTTATTATTTATGGTACTTATTAGTTAATTTGATATATATCACTATGAGTAATTATTAATTAATTAATTCTACTATGAATTTATTAAATTTTTTTACTTAAACATAATTACTATATAAATCATTATATAAAGTGTAAATTTTGCCTTATTCAATTATCTCTTTTCTTTGTCATATATATATATATATATATATATATATATATATATATATATATATATATATATATATATATATATATATATATATATATATATATATATATATATATATATATATATATATATATATATATATATATATATATATATATATATATATATATATATACCAAAGATTGTATTTAGCGGAAATAGGATCGAAATAGTTTGTATAAAAGGGAAGTATAGAAAGTAAATGGTAGAGACAATTTTACAAGAAAATTCAAACTTGTTATTCAAAGGTGTGTTCAGAAAGTAAATTGAAATCTCTTTATATATGGAAGAAAAGGCTTAATATTTAAGCGGGTAACCACTACTTACAATAACCGGTAAACTAAAACACAACTTGTATAATTATTGCCGGGTACTCTTTGGGCCCCATCGACACAACAATTAACAAGAAACCAAAACACTTTAACAAAATAAAGAAAATACATGCCTAGAAATTCTAAAGACAAGATAAGATTCTTATTCCCTTGTCTTTTACAAAAGAAAGAAAATGCATGC